GTGCTCTTCCTCCTATGGAACTGTTGTCAATAGATCCTCTCATGGAAAACCCAGAAATTCGGTTCCCCATATATTTATTGGGGACTCCATGAACTCTCATCTTACTGAGCAAGGGGATATTGTGGAGATGCCCTTCTAATTAAAAATTTTCAGTAATAGAACACACAAACACATATACCTGTCCGTGAAACTGTTTTTAAAAGGAGCAATGCTTCATACATTTAAGCTTAATTATAAAAGTTAAAATAAAATGTAGAGACAATTATTCTTCTAATCAACAGAAATGATCAAACAGGTTATTTGGTAGGCTGCAGCTTGGTTGTTTAACTCGGTTAAATTCACAGGAAGCCTGCCTCTGTTCTTTATTTCCTTCAGGAGCTTGAGATTCTCTATTTTAAAAAAACAACAACCAGGTGGCGCTTCTTTCTGCTCTTGAGAGTTCCGACCAATGTTCAGTGATGTTATAGGTCATTACCTTCCTTCCTGCCAATACAGGAAGTTTGTTGATTCTCTCCAGAACAGCCTCCAGTGCAGCACAAGAAGGTTCTTTAGTCAGAAAATAGAATCTCAGGTGCTTCGGTAGATGAACCAAAATGCTTGCACATCTGCACGAGACTGCAGGGAAGCCAGACGTGTATTGTATCAATTGTATTTACAGTCCTGTCTAGCTTCGCTTCACATCTGCTTTGCCTGTTTCGGTGCAGAAAAGGATACCAAGAACCAAATACACATGTGCCTAATAAACAAATTTTGGATCCATTCTGTTTGTTCCAGGAAGTAGTTACAGCTGCTGGCTTGCTATTCCTTTTGTTGGACACAGTAGCCCAGAATATTGCTCAGCCAGGTGGCATCTAATGGCTAGGACATGATTTTTTGAAGGCGGGAAATTACAATGTACTGTATTTGAATAGCTATCAGAACCTGGAGAACATGACTGCTCCTTCCAGCTCACATGATGGGGCAGGTGGAAGGTCCATTTGTGAAGTTATCTCCATATTACCTACAGAAAACATTCGGGGGAGGGACGGTAGATGAAAAAACAGCTCTGTTTGCCATTTAAGATGCAAAGTGAGAGGAAGAAAAAGCTATGTTGGTTGAAGGCAATTGGGCATGGTGCAGTTTGCTGATTTTAGACCATGGTCTTAAAACTGCAATCCTAGGCACATTTACCTGGGAGTAAGTCCCATTGTCTTCAGTGGGACTTACTTCTTCTGAGTAGGTACGCACATACACACACACATTGGTAAAACTATGCTCCAGGCAGCTAACAACATTCAAAAAGGAATACATAATGGCAACATGATAGTAGCCATAAGCAATAAATAAAACATCAAAAACACACAACAAATTTCCACATAAATCATAATAAGATCTAAAATAAAGGTTCAAAGAATTAATATCAACAACAGCAAACAAAACCCCTCAAACAAAACTCCCTAAACAGTACCCAAACCAAAGTCTGTTCAGCAGCTTCAGCTTCTGTAGCTGGAGTCAATGCCCCGTCCTCCCCAGCCAGGTGGAAAACACTTACAAGATAGGGAGTAGATCTTCCAGGGCTCACAGCCAAGATGGTCTCTTGCCTGCATAGGATTGCATTGTAGTGGTCTTCACCTACATACTTCACCTACTTACCTCAAAATATGGTAAGCCAACCCTGATTCTTCTTTTTGAAGGGGGTGGGGATCCTCCTCATTATCCTGAGTAGGGAACTTGACTTCTGCACCTCTGGAGTTCAGAACTTCTCTTTGGGGATCTAATGTTGGGTAGCAGTTCTGCTGCTTTGTGGGAGCAGGTATGAACTGCTTGCCTATTTATAAATAAAGCAAATAGGATATAGACACTGTGGACTCAGCTACATTGGCAAAGAAAAAGTGATTTAAATGTGTTGTTTAATGTATTCTAACACTGTGACACTGGATGCCGCTGTGGAGTTCTGTTTTTTGCCAACCCAATATCTCATACAAAGTTCGCAACGTGTTTAGCTGAAACGGTTCTTTGATGTGTCTAGATCCTGCCTGGGAGTCTCCAGTGTCCTCTCAACCAAACCAAACCCAGGTATCCTTACCCTGAGTTTTTACACTTAGGAAGAGTTTGCTGAATCAGGCTGATGGCCCATCTCATCCAGCATCCTGTTTTCACATTGGTCCACCAGATGCCAATGGGAAACTCACAAAAGGACCTGAGCATAATATACAGTGGTACCTTGGGTTACAGACGCTTGAGGTTACAGACACTTCAGGTTACAGACTTCGCTAACCCAGAAATAGTACCTCGGGTTAAGAACTTTGCTTCAAGATGAGAACAGAAATCGTGTGGTGGCGGCGCGGTGGCAGCGGGAGGCCCCATTAGCTAAAGTGGTACCTCAGGTTAAGAAAAGTTTCAGGTTAAGAACGAACCTCCAAAATGAATTAAGCTCTTAACCAGAGGTACCACTGTACAGGGAAATAATAATAGTAATGGTAATAATTAATGGTAATACAGTGGTACCTCTACTTACATTCACCTCTGGTTACGTATCCTTCAGGATATGTACGCAGCAAACCTGGACGTATTTTTCCGGGTTTCGCCATGCGTGCATGCGCAGAAGTGCTCTACCATGCTGCGCGCATGCGCAGAAGCGGTCCCTTCAGTTGCAGAAACCTCGGGATCCAACTGGAGCTCTGGAACGGATCCTGTCCACAACCGGAGGTACCACTGTAATTGTTTGCGCCTGCCTTTTGCTCCTTCAACACACCCAAAGGGCAAGGAACACAGAGATAGAATCTGAGCTCCTTGGCTTTGATTTACTTTGTTTTTGTTGTTCTTGTTACCATGTTATGTCAGGTTAGGCCAAGTCACTACATTCTAAATTGTTTTCCTACATTGCCTTAACACTCTCCCAGGGATATTGCATAAATGGTCTTCTGAAGTCCCTTGTGCAATCAATGAAACGGACTCCACCTTCACATCTGTAAGAATATTTCAGAGGGTGGTGGTAGAAGAGATGTTTCTATGCCAACTTCTGTTAACTTCCCTTCCCTAGACCCACCTACCACAAAAACAGCTGCTGAGGCAGCAACTCTCCCAGAAGCCACAAGAGAGGAGCAGTAGACATCTGTCATACCATGACTCAGATGGGACGAGGGCAGGGCTGGGGGAAGGCAAGATGAACTTTACACCCCACAACTAGAGGCGCTGTATGTGTGTTCTTCACTGTAGTTACGTACAGTAATCCCACATTTCATGCAGTGGTTTGGAGCCAAGGGTTCCATGTTTAGTCTAACCCTTGGAGCCACCCCGTCGCTAGTGGGTGAGCTGTGGAAGAGAGCATCCTCAGCACCCCAGAACTGGTGTGCTGAGCAGGACTTGACTAGCAAGCAAAGTGGAGAGGGTACAAGCTCTTTTTGCACTGGTTTTGCTTGAGGAGCCTTTAAGGTCTCTGCTTTGCTTGGGAGGCAAGGCCCACCAGCAGGCCAGATTTGGAAGGCTAGGGATGCTTACACAAGAACCTGCGGAAATGTGGATGGCCCCACAAGATCTCACAAGAGCCTCCCAGAACCTTCTAGGGCTGTCTCAGGCCTTGCCTGGCAAGCAAGGCAGAGAGTTTAAAAGCTCCTTTTGTGCTGGGTAACCCCGCACATATTTGGCCCAAAAAGAGCTTTTAAGCTTTCCATCTTGCTTGAGACATACACAAGAAGCATTAAAACACAGTTCAAAACACATTCCATCTAAGGAAAGGCACAAATGAGGGCACAGAGCAGGGCTGGTGAGAGGGGTGGGCCAGGTGAGGGGTGTGGCTTTTGGAGAGCGCTGAGGACAAGAGACCTAGAAGCTTCTGCCCTATGGGGAATCCTTCCATGTGCAGATATAAAGCCCACAGTGGGTCTCCATAGCCAATATCGTCAACTTTTGGTTGGAAGAGTGGGTTCCTCAATGCCATATTATAGCTGTGCCTTACGTTAGAAACTCTGAGAACAAAAGCCATGGAGGAACTCCCTCAGTTCGTTGTGTGCTTTGTATCTCTTTCTAACTTAAAAGTTAGTGGGGTTAAAAAATGAATTTATTATCCTAAAATTAGTGATCTGAAGGTCTCTAAAAATGAAAGCAATAGCTGTAGATTCCTACATCTTGGTTATTCCAAAATGGCCACTTACCCTACAATCAGGGTGGGTGGCAGTCGCAGCCCCTTGCGACATGCCTTCCATTCCAGGTGCAGCGAGGAGTCATGTCCCAGTGGCTGGCCATTTTAAGTGCCCTGGACCAGCTGTATTGTATGGTGGAAAACCCACCAAGCCAAATGTTTTAACTGCCCTAACGGGGCACCAAGCACGAGGAACCTGGATGGCGGGCCAGAGCGGCGAAGTTCTCACTCTGGTTCTCTAGTCAGGGTTAGAAGCTTTTCCACTCCATGAAAGCGTATCTGCGACAGACAGAACCTACAGTCAAATTATCCTGTAAAGCAGTGTTCCCCAACCTTGGGCCTCCAGCTGTTTTTGGACTACAACTCCCATCATCCTTGACCACTGGTCTTGCTAGCGAGGGATGATGGGAGTTGTAGTCCAAAAACAGCTGGAGGCCCAAGGTTGGGGAACACTGCTGTAAAGGATTCAGTTGTTATGCTTTTACAAAGGCGCAATTGTGTAGAGCAGCTTGCTGTCTGAGTATCAAAATAAGTGATGATGGTTATGGGAGGAAAAGAAGATAGTTAACAGGTAAAAAAAATACAGTAAAAAGAGCAAAATTGTGTGAAGCAGATTGCCGTTTCAGTGTCAAAAGAAGGAGGTTCCAAAAAAAAAGAAAATATATATTTAGCTGTTCGAAAATAATATGTTTGCTTTGGCAAATGAGGAATTAAACCTTTACTTGGATGCTGTAGACTTTGGAGACTCATGTAAGGGAAACGTAAAATGAGTCAGACTTACAAAAAAATCAGGGAAGTTTTAATGTGTGAGCAATACTACAGCATGTTCAATTGGAGCAGGCTTGCTGACCTCACAGATGAAAACACTATATAAGATCTGGCAGCCAGATGTTCCACTAGAAAGCCAGCAGCTGCTAGAAGGAGTCTTTCCAGACCCGCTTCAACAGTGACTGCAAAATACTCTTAACAGAAGATATGATTGTGTTGATTTTTCTCTTTGCCTTGCTGTGGGATACAGCTGCTGGCTGGGGGTTCAAGGACGGAGTTCTACATAACTCTATCTGGCTAGGTAAGAGGTTTTTCATTTATTCGTTTTGTTTGTTCATTTGTTTCCATTTGCAAAGCCAGGGATACCCACAACATTTTCCAAATCGCTGCTTCAATTGTCACATCCCATTGATTTAAAGGCAGCATCTTGCTGCAGCCGAACAAGAATTCATTTGCATTGTTTTAGCTTAATGTTCTTTATTTTACTTTAAAAAAAAAGTGGTGCAGACATTTCATTTGTGAAAAAGAATGCCTAGAAATATGCGCTGGGAGAATGATATTATCTGAAAGCTTGAGATGAATGGAAAACTAAACCTCTAGAGAATGTGTGTGAGAGAGAGCGAGAGCGAGAGAACTAAACAGAAACAGCTGTGCAAGATACATATCAGCCTTTGCCTTGTACATATATGAAATTCCTTGATGCTTCATATACAGATATTTGGGAAATATACATTGTGAAAGAAGTGGTTTTAAAAAACATTTCAGAGCAGTTGTACTTCCCCGTTCTCTGTATCCCATTTTTGTTCTCCTGCTGTCTTTTGACTTTCTTATGTCTTACTTATTCTAACATCCTCCTGCCTTCCCTTTTATTTCGGAACAGCTGAATTCTACTTAGGAAAATAAAGAATAGAGCCTGTTCAGAATGTCAGTAATGGTCACTCTAGACAGAACCAGAAATGAATAGAGAATTGGGATGGAGAGAACTTGACAAGGGGGGTGGAGTATTGTCAATAATAGCTCTGTGTCTTCTATAACATCTAGTTCCACTTTATACTGGCATAGAATAATAGAATTGCAGATACCCCCAAGGGTCATCTAGTCCAACCCCCTGCAATGCAGAAATCTTTTTTGCCACAAAATAAAATGCTGCCCCAAAAGTGACCTCAGGGCTGCATCCTTAGCCATGAAGCACACCGCTGGGTATATCCTCTGGCAGCTAACATAGAAACCCTAGAAAAAGTCTCATGTGGTCAAGATATTACTTACAAATGAGACAACAAAGGCTGCCAGACAAAGGTCATTTAAACTCGGGCTGCCTTGTCCATTTAAACACAGCTGTTCTGCAAGAAATGTCTCCCCCCCCCCCAGGCTAAGGTGCAGGAAGGTCAAACTACGAGGCTTTACACCATGTGCTTCAAATGTGATGTCTGAGGGAGTGGAAAACACATTCAGGTACACGACTTGGGTATGTTTAGGAGTTGCCAGCGCGACGCTCAGCCCAGCTCAGTTCAAAGGAGCTTATGATCAAGAAAGAGCGCTAAGTGTTACAACCCAAGACCACGACAGATCCATTCTTTCCCCTTTGGGGTTTTTGTTAAAGAACAGGTCATTGAGCTTTTCCGTTACTTGCATTTTAGTTGAACCCAATCCATTCCTGACCATTCTAAGAAGCACATTTGGACTTGCTGGAAACCAGTTCCCAGAAATACATGCATGGCATGTGGGTGGATTATGGACTTAAGGCACAGAGATCATATTTAAGCTATCTTTGACCTACCTGTTAGACCACTGCTCCATCTAGCTCAGGACTGTGTACACCAGGAATGAGGACCCTGTAGCCTTCCAAATATTGCTGGACTCCAACTCCCATGCTCAATGGCCCAGGGATGATGGGATCTGTAGTCCCAATGAAAACAGAAGGGCCATAGGTTCCCCAACCCCTGCCTACATTAATGGGTGGCAGCTCTCCAGGATGTCAGGAAGTGACATTTGCTTTTATCCTAACCAACTTCTGATTGTTTATGGTGTATGGCTGCCTAACATAAAATTAGCTAGCCCTTTCAGAACCACTAGTAGAGTAATACCTAGGTCCTAACTATACTGGGTAGTATGCAAAGGAACAAAGACGTGCTGAAAACCCAGCAAAATCAATATGCAGCGTTGGAAGCTGAACGTCAGTGCACACTACTGTGGGGGAACTAGCAGGAACAGAGTACTTGCAGGATAGTTCCCTGTGTGCCTGTGTCAGTACTTGGAGAGGGGGAAAGCTCAGACTATAGACCAGGGTGTCTTAAGGGCTCAGAATATGGATCACGAGAGATGCTCTGTGTTTTTAAGTCAGCACATCTCGCCTAATATGCGATGGAAATATAGTCAGAGGAGTGCAGAAAAATCCTGAATGTCAGAGTATCTTACTCATGAATTGTAAATGTGGCAGGGGGATGAGGAAGGCGCAATAAAACACTTGAGTGAAACAATACATTCCCAGCGCACAAACCAATATAGAGGCCTTAACTACACACGATGCTGGTTGTGAATTCGCATTGCTGTTTACTCTTTATTTCAGGGGTGGCCAACATGGTGCCGCCCTCCAGATGTTTTAGCTTACAGTTTCCATCAGCCTCAGCCTGCGTGATGGGCTACAGGGAGCTGTGGTCCACAACATCTGTTGGGTACTGCATTAGTGACTCCAGCTTTATTTAATTACAGACACCGAGGAAGGGATGTGTTAATTGAGAACACAGCATGTGGGGCTTTACCATGCTGTCAACCACGGTCACAATGAAACTTTGTGCTGCACTTAGGCTTGGCACTGCAGGGAGGCAAAGTTCCTATTTCTTTGTCTTGCAAGAGTCAAACATCTTCCTTGAGGGTAGCACTTGCATTGTGTGAAAAATCAGCATTTTCTTTAAAGTCAAACTGCACTATATCTTAGCTGGGGTTAACACATTCTTTTTCCTGAAGTGACATCCACACCATACATTTAAAGCTGCTCAGAGATCTGCACTGGTTGTCCCATTTGCTTCTAGGCTGAAGAGCTCAGTCAGCCTGCTTATATAGAGCTCCAGAACCTCGTTACTGTAATAACTTTCTAAAACTATCCAATCACTGAATGTCACTTTCGATCCTTCATTTGCATACAAACTATCAAATCACTGAACCTCACTTTCGATCCTTCATTTGCATAACTATCTGCAGTATCCCCCTGCTGGCCCAGGGTGAGAACTTCAGTACATAACACCGGCCAAGTTCAATATGTTACTATGAGCATATAAATCCCTTGACACAGAGGTTTTCAACCTTTTTGAGTCCATAGCTCCTTTGACCAACTACATTCCTTCTGCGGCAGCCCTGTGGGGCTCAGGAGCCCAGTTATGTCACTGACAGCCTCTCACCCTTTTCGAATGCTCTCCCTTTTGGAGTGTTCCTTCAGCTTAATCTCCTCTCCCCTCTCCTTGGGAGGCCTCTGGGCAGCTGCCACCACTGCCCCTGTTCTCTGAGCTGCCTCCCCCTGCCCCAAAGAGAAGCACATCCTCACACTGCCCCACAGGGGCTTGGGAAGAGGATGCGCCCAGCCGTAGGGGCCCAACAGAAACTGACCAAAGGTGAATGTGAGACCAGCACCTTACCTTAGGAGGTAGCAGTGGCAGCAGTGGCCAGGCCTGCATGGTGGAAAGGCTCCCCTTCAGCACTGGGCTCCCAGGCAGGCCTCGCTCACAGCAAGCACAAGAAAGGCCAGTGCAGTGCCTGCCTACCTGCCTGGTCTCCCACTTGTCCTTCCATGCCCAACAGCAAGGGCTGGTGGACTGGCTGGCTGGGCTCTCTTGCCTGCTTGCCTGCTTGCTTGCTTTCTCCAAGGCAACCAGGTAACTCCAGGTAACTAGCACTCCCTGGCCAGCCCAAGAGGCACCATTTGCCTGTGGAGCTTGTAGCCAGGGATGCTGCAACAAACAGCTGTGCAAGCCTTGGCAAAGCAGAGATGCTAGAGGGAGAGATGGAGCCCAGTGTTGCCCACGGCACCCCTGGCCATCATTCAAGGCACCCCAGGGTGCCAGGGCACACTGGTTGAAAACCACTGCCTTAACAGCTTGGTACCAGTTTATTTGTGAGATTGCCTTACCTTGTATGTGCCCATTTGACTACTTTGATCTGCATAATGGTCACTGTTACAAGTGCCCCATGAGACTTGTCCCACATTTGCAAGAAATCAATCATTTAGCATGGCAGCACCTACACTTTTGAACTCCCTGCCTATAGTCATCAGACAGGTGCCTTCCCTGTATTCTTCTTGGCAACTGCTTAATTTTTGTTATTGTTCAGGCAACCCTATCCAGACGTGCAGAAGTTATATGTATTTTATCACTTTTAGTTACTGTTGATGCTTTGAATGATTTAAATACTGGCTTTCAATTTTTTAATTAAAAAATGTTTTATTTTATATTTTTGCAAACTGCTTAGAGGTTTATGAATGATTTAAATACTTGCTTTCATTTTTTTTAATTAAAAAATGTTTTATTTTATATTTTTGCAAACTGCTTAGAGGTTTTCCTCCAATCAAGGAGTACATGCATTTTGGTTACACGAATTAATAAATATTCCACATACTTCAGAGTGTGATCCCTCTGCCCTGCTGCTTAGGGGGGGATCCTCCTGATCATTCTAGTGGATGTCTGCCCTGAAGTCCTGCTCTGATAGCAACACTGTGTGTTGGCACTAAAAGGAATAGGCCATGCAGCACAAGGTCCTGGTGGTTGTCAGGCTGTATGTATATGTATGCATTCCAGTTGTTTATAGTTCACTTTTTCCAAAGGCTCAAAGTGGGAAAGCAGAAGTAAAACCAAAGACCCAGGAATAAAACAAAACAGCAAATCAACACTGTTGAAAGCAAGTAAAACCAAAAACCAAAAATAGCCTAACTGAAAAATGGATCAATTGAAAGTGAACAGAAACTATATATTGTACGCCCTGTGTGCAATTTCTTACCAATAACTTCTCCAGCAGATTATTCCAGAGCTGAGCAGCAGTAATAAATACCATACTCCTTGGAACTACCATCTTAATCCAATAACACAGTGGAATAGAAAGCAAGGGATACTGCTGATACGGTTTGATATAGGGGAAATGTGGGAGACCTGAGTTGGGATGAATGAATCTGTCAATTTTTGTGTCTTTCAGATTCCTGTTTTTCCCCATCTTAAATTCCGTTCACCACATTTCCACATGGAAATTCAGTTTAGTTTGAATTTCTCCCAATAAACACATTTTTGCAAGCAGTTTTTGTATGTTATCCCAATTTAAGCT